AGCAATCTTTATACCCCTCCCCTGGACATATTTTCCCAAATATTTCCGAGATTTTAATGTTTAGACTGAACCCTATATTTAACTGTCTACTCTGGTGTTTCATTATTTAGTTGGTTGAATTTGGTAACTCTCTTTCAAACTGGTGGGGTCCTGGGCTAGGGTTGTAGCTCAGTAGTAGAACGCTCACCTAGCACATATGAAGCACTGGGTTCAATCCTCAGCATCACATAAAAAAATAAATAAAGGTATCGTGTCTATCTACAACTAAAATTTTTTAAAAAAAAAAAAGGTCCTTTTGGTTGTCCACTCATTTGTAGGTGAGGGTCTAGATTAGAGTTACATGCTGAGAGCTGGCATGAACTTCCTCAGCCCAGTCTAACTGCTTCAACCAGAAATTCACTGTATTCTGATAATGAATACAAGCCTCTGGTTTTATTGTTTCTCTGAATTTATATTTCTCCTCAAATTGATTTTGGGAGAAAAAAAAGTAAATATGTGTGTTTTCTTGTCTGTGGAATTTGAAGTCATTGAATTTTTTATATGCCGCATGGAAATATAGATTTTTGAATCTGAGAACACAGGAAAAAAAAAATCAACAGTAGTAGGGTACAACTCTTTCAACACTTGACAGATCAAATATCTGGAAAGATGTATACAAATAATAATATTAATCTAATAGCTATAACTCAAATCTCATTCCCTAAGAACAGAATATTTAATTCTAAATCTTACCTACCCCCTGTGTCAAAAGGAAAAAAAAAAATGTCCGCTGTTATAAATATCAGAGCCCTGTCCTTCCTTGCCCTGTCCCACTTGGAACTTCTGTATGCTTCACTTCAATGCCAAGGTTTTGTTATGGATTAGTTTTTCCATAAAACCATTTTGGGCCAATTGGTAATTTCAAGGTTTTGTTTGTTTAAAGTCTAAGAGTCCAAACTTTCACAATCTATTAAAATCTGGCCCTAAAATGACAAACCTAAAAGCCTTATTTTTCTAAAGCCAGTATTCCTGCTCAGATTGAGTTGCCAAAATACCCTCTGAACTTAGTTGTACTGATGAGCTAAGAATACTATGCTCTTTTAAATACCTTTGTCTTTAAGACTAGTTTGATACAAATACTTTTTTTCAGATACACAAAGCAATAAAGCCTCATTAATAAAATATTGCCTTTTAAATGCATGTAATAATTGATCAATCCATATTCATTACACTACATTCTACTGTATATCATAATGTAATGAATATAACTAGGCTCTTTGGATCACTCTGATTTCATAGTGAAATTTTTAAAAAATAGCTTTTGCTGAGACTGTGAACAGAAATCCTATCCACGTTTTCTCTAATGAAGTATTCTGCCTTCAGTTGCAGGTGTGCTAAAACTGAGTATGTGAAACAGTTGATGTGATCAAAGGATGAAGACAGTATTTTGACATACTATAAAGTTGAGATTAGACTACATTGTACATAGAATAAATGAAACAAAACTGTCACATAAATTTTTTAGATTTACTTCTGTCAAATGCAGTACATAATAAAGAAAGGTGAGTATTATCAGAAAGCATTTTCTTATGCTTTTTGTTTTTCTTGCACCTGCCATGTTTTCCAAAATTGGACATTTAATTCATCTCTTAACTGGTCATTCCCATAATTGTTAGCTTAGTCAGTGCTTTTCTTATCAAACCCCTTTTCAATGAGTAATATGTCCCCTTGTATTGAGCTATCTTTCTGATAATGCATTAGAATCTGGGGTGTTTTATTTTTTGCTTTGTTTAGTATATTTTCAAGTTCGTATTACTTTATTCAAGTTAATAAGTGCTCGCCTTAGTTTTCTGGTTACTTGGTGTAAAAATCATCCCTTGTAGCTTTATGGTTTTTAAAAAACATGTTAAGTATTTATGAACTATGAGCCTTCATAATGTCACTGTCTTCCCAGATCAGACACTATAACTTGACTAATACTGTACTGACCCTACTCTACCTCACCTACATGAACACATGACCCCTATTATTAATTTTCCTAAATACTCTGGGTCTACAAGATTCTGTAAATGCAGTGCTAACACTAACAATGGTCTCTGTACATTGGCAATAGTGGCAAGAATGTTAATACTGGGCCTTTCAACAACTAAAACAATTTTTTCAAATTGGCAGCTGCAGAATTGTGGAGTGTTTTCACACAGATCTTTGGCTAATGCAATTAGCAATGTTTTGCATGTACTACTTAATAAATCTTTAATCATTAGAAACAAAAAAGGAAAAGCTGGGCAATACAGGGGTTGGTTTGCAATACACTTGCTTCTCATAGGACCATTAATGGGCTTGCTCCAGGTTGACTATCAACAAACATTTTTAAAATTCCATAATCATTCTCTGGAGCAAAGCCCAGGGAGCCAGCTAATTTTTACTAGGATAAATAAACAAACAAACAACAACAACAACAAAAAAAAACCTGGCCTCCCTGCCCCCAGAAGAGATAATAAAATACTACTACTAAACTAAGAAACTGAAGGAAAACATAAACATAAATGAAAAAAACAAAAAAAAATACTGAAAAATGAAAAAAAAACTTATAAGAAAATTGTCTGTAAGTCTATGCTAGCACATTGACAGAAAGTACAAATTACCAGCATTAACTCAGTAAGGATGGAAAACCCAATCACCATGAAATTTTTAAAAAGTGAGGGGTGGGGGGTTTCTAATGTTACCCTTTCAAAAAGCTCCAGGCATGGGCTGGTGGTACAGCACTTACCTAGCATGTACACAAGCCTGCATACAATCCCCTGCACTAGCACAAAAAAAAAAAAAAAAAAAAAAAAAAACCTCAGGCTTTTCCATAGGCCGGACCACAAAGAAAGAAAGCTTTCTCAATTCCTTTTACAAAAGTAATTCACTATTTAAAACAAAACTTCACAAAGATGATTTAAGCAGACTACAAAACTGGTTAATTATGAATCCTATGTCAAATATTTATAAATATGATCCATCACTTAAAAAATAACAGTGATACCCACCCAGGTACACACAGAGAAAGAGATTCTAGAGTTTAGATGTCAAAATCCTGAAATTCAACACTTATTTTCTATTTAAAATAAACTGTTCAAATTGGAATACTTTTGTTAACAGTTAAAAAAAATACAAACAGGATCGGACATTATTACCCTATAGTATTATTCTACATCTCGTACAACCAGAAAAATGATAAAGTATACTCCATTTATATATGATGTGTCAAAATGCATTTTACTGTGTGTATAACTAATTAGTTAGTTCTAATTAGAACAAATTTTAAAATATATTAAAGAAAACTAAAACTAAAAAAAAAAAAAAATACAAATAGGAACAAGGCACTAATACATGCACAACATGGATGACTCTTAAAAACATGCTACCGTGAAAGAAGCCAGACCCAAAAGACCACACATTATAGGATTTCACTTATATGAAATGTTAAGAATAAGCAAATCTCAGTGACTTAGGAGGTTGAGACAGGAGGATTGCAAATTCAAGGGCAGCCTAGGTCATTTAGACCCTGCCTCAAAATAAGTAAAAAGGACTGAGGGTACAATTCACTGGTAGAGTACCCCTGGGGTTGGAGCCCCACTATGGCAACAAAAAAGAATAAGCAAATCTACCCAGACAGAAAGTAGATTAGTGGTTTCTAGAGGCTGAGGGGCAGGCAAAGGGGGTAGTGATTGCTAATGGATAGTGTTTCTTTTGGGGATAATGAAAATGTTCTAAAATTAGTGGTGATGGTTGCACAACTATTAATCTAATAAAAACCACTAAATTGTACATTTTAAAGGGCAAATTTAATAACAGCTTTATCTCAATAAATCTGTTTTTAAAATGCATAAGTATACGCAATCTTAAACCAGGTCATGTTAGAACATGTGTTCTGGGATATGGGAATTCTGTCATTACACTTTATAACAAAAAGACATTAAACACTATGGTAAAACACTAGAAGTAGTCCCTCCAAAGTAAAAATTAAGAAGAATACCATTATTATTTAAGATTGTATGAGAACTTTCCGGGCATGGTAGGACATGCCTGTAATCCCAGCTAAGGCAGGCAGATCCCTAGTTCGAGGCCTGGGCAACTCGGTAAGACCCTGTCTCAAAATGAAAAATAAAAGAGGTGTGGCTCAGTGACTGTGTGCTTGCGGGGCAAGTGTGAGGCACTGGGTTCCATCCCCAGCACTATAAAACAAAACAAAATAGAACAAAAATTAAAAGGACTGAAGGTGTGGCTCAGTGGCAGAGTGCCCCTGGATCCAATCCCCAGTGCTGGAGCAGAGGGATTGTATGAGAACTGATAACCAAAGCAATTAAGGTAAGGAAATAAAATGCAAGACATAATTATCATTGGAAAGAAATTACACTTATTTACATATATCTAGGAAATCCAAAACAATTAACTGAAAAACATCAATATGAATTCACAAAACATGCTAATACAAAATTAATATACTTGGCTGGGCACAGTGGCACACACCTGTAATACCAGCAGCTAGAGAGGCTGGAGGATCTTGAGTTCAAAGCCAGCCTCAGCAGAAGCGAAGGGCTAAGCAAGTGCCCCCGAAATCAATCCCTGGGACCAAAAAAATAATATACTTGAAGATAGAATTTTTCTTATATAATATTTAAGAATGAAAAATCCCTCTGCTGAGAATAATATATAAAGAAACCAAGCTTGCTTTTGAATATGTTGGATCAATAGTATTCATTTTCTCTTTCTCTTTTTTTTTGGTCCTGGAAATTGACCCTAGGGGCACTCAACCACTGAGCCACATCCCCAGCCTTATTTTGTATTTTATTTAGAGACAGGGTCTCACTGAGTTGCTTAGTGCCTCGCTAAATTGATAAGGCTGGCTTTGAACTCTTGATCCTTCTGCCTCAGCCTCCTAAACTGCTGGATTACAAGTATGCACCACCGCACATGGCTCATTTTAATTAACCTCTATCAAAACCTACATACATTTTTATTATAAATTAACTGACCTTACATATATAGAAATGCTTTCAGGGGCTGGGGATGTGGCTCAAGTGGTAGCGCGCTCGCCTGGCATGCGTGTGGCCTGGGTTCGATCCTCAGCACCACATACAAACAAAGATGTTGTGTCTGCCGAAAACTAAGAAATAAATATTAAAAAAATTAAAAAAAAAAAAAAGAAATGCTTTCAGACTTCATTCTATTCCATTTGTCAATATGGCTTTGTACCTGCTGTTTTAATAAGCTTTGATAAACAGAAGTGTAAGTCTTCCAACATTTGTTTCAGGATTGCCTTTGACATATTTGGCCCTGTGCATTTCCACCTAAATTTGAGAACTGGTCTATCCAAGAAAAGAAAAAAAAAGAGAGAGAGAGAGAGAAGTGAAGAAAAGAAAAGGCAGTACCTGCTATCCTGTTGGGATTTTGATTGGAACTGCAAAGAATCTCTCTATCAACTCAGGGAGAATTTACATTTTTTTTAATATTTATTTTTTAGTTGTAGTTGGACACAATACCTTTATTTTATTCATTTTTATGTGGTGCTGAGGATCAACCCAGGGCCTCGCACATGCTAGATGAGTGCTCTCTACCACCCCAAGAACTGACATCTTTACACCAGTGACATTTCTAGTCCACGAGCATCATCTCTGTTCCCATTAACTGAGGTCTTGTTTCCTTTCCCTTAGTAACATTTTTATTAAAAGTCCTGGTATGCTTTGTTGGATTCATATCAGAGAAATTCTTTGACCTTATTATAAATTTTACTAGTTTGTAAACTTGATTTTCAAATTGTCTGTTATTAGTAAAAATACAATTGATTTTTGCCTATCAGTCATTTTTAAATGTACATAGCACAAAAATACAGATTAAATAATTAATGAAATAAGCCTTTTTTTTTGGGGGGGGGGGACAATTCTAGGGATTCAACCCAGGAATGCTCTACCACTGAGCTATATCCCAGTCCTTTTTATTTTTTATTTAAGAAAGGGTCTCACTAAACTGCTGGGTCTGGCCTCAAACATGTGATCCTCCTGCCTCAACCTCCCAAGTCACAGAGATTACAGGTGTGGGCTACCACACCTAGCCACACCTTTTAAATGTCAGAATAAATTTATTTTTTTTTTAATATTTATTTATTTATTTTTGTTTTCGGCGGACACAACATCTTTGTTTGTATGTGGTGCTGAGGATCGAACCCGGGCCGCACACATGCCAGGCGAGCGCGCTACCTCTTGAGCCACATCCCCAGCCCCAGAATAAATTTAAATGAAGCAGAAGGAAATAAGTTTTAACCATAAGAGCAGAAATACAAAGAACCAATAAAAAGAACTATTTGAAAAATATAATAAATACAGGCAATTACTGGCAATATTAATCAGAAAAAATGAACAAATTAATGAAATTAAATTTTTAAAATTTCATCAAGGAAACCTATAGTTTATACCAATATCCTTGAAATTGCATAATTTTCTAGGAAATTGTTCACTCTGTATAAATGACCAAAAAAAAAAACCACATAAAAAGCCATAAAGATATCCCATGGAAGCAAAAAAAAAAAAATTATCAATAAATCAAAATCAAAAATATCTACTCACAAAAAAGAAACCAAGTATAAACAATATCACAGATGGGTTCTATCTAATGTTCAATAAACAGATTATCTGTATTAAATGGACCTGTTTCAGAAAAGAGGGAATACCTCCCAATTCATCTATGAGATTAGCTGAGCACAGTGGCATGTATCTGTAGTCCCAGCTACTAGAGAGGCTAAGGCAGGAGGATCAATTAAACCCAGGTGTTTGGGGCCAGCGAAGACAACATAGTGAGCCCCCATCTCAAAAAAAAAGACTCATAAGATTAACAACATAACCTTGTTATCAAAACCAACACAAAGAAGCCAGCACAGTGGTGCACACCTATAATCCTACTTACTTGGGAGGATGAGACAGGAGCACCGCAAGTTCAAGGCCAGCCTGGGCAATTTAGATCCTGTCTCAAAATTTTTAAAAATAATAATAAAAAATTAAAAGCTGAGGGTGTACCTCAGTGGTAGAATACCCCTGAGTTCAATCCCCAGTATGGGCACCAAAAAAAAAAAGAACCCCACAAAGACTATATGAAAAAGGAAAAGTATATGCAATAACCAAAGTATGCAAATATTCAGGGAATCCAAAGATAGTTTAAAATAGAAAATCTATTAATATACTTCATCATAACAATAGATTAAAAGCTTTAGAAAAGTTCAACTACTGTTCATGATAAAACTTTAAAATGCTAAACAGAAGAGAACCTGACTTTAAAAAATATATATTTCTACCCCCCCCAAAAAATAAGTTCACTATAATATCATATGTAATGACAAAACATTAGAAGCATCCCTAAGCAAGGATGCTCATTATCAATGCTCTACTTAACACTTTATTTAAGGTGTTAGTCAATAAACAAGAAATGGGAGACAAAAAGGAATGGGAAAGAAAAAATAAAACTATTATTCACAGATATAACTACATAGAAAATACAAAAGAATTATAATTGATATTACTCCCACATTTCACTGAATCTAAAGATACCACCAACTGTAAAATAAGCCCTTATATTTTACACAACTAAGGAAAAAACATTAATTTTTCTGATACTATTGTTCCCTTATTATCTAGGATTTTCATTTTAGACATATCAAGACAATTCAAATTTAAACAGAATTTATCATACCTTGTACATATATAAAAGAAAAGTATAAGCCAAAGAAATTTGTAGGGTATTCCTAAAACTTCACATTCAGCATCCTAGAATGGATTGCTTTCTACTCAAAGCTCTCCAATTGTTCCTAACAAAACTGTCCTCTGCCAACCAGAGTGTTAGGGGATGAAGCATTTCTTAAAATGCTCCATTATATCTATGGGATTTTCTCTCAAGGCAGACACCCACTTAGCAATTTCATCTGTCTTCAGTTGTATTGTTTGGCATGAAATAAAACGCAACAATGGGCATACTCTAAATTTAAAGTGATGACAAAATTAAGAGCCCTAACCAAGTGCATGCCCAAATAATGATAACTGCTGCCTGGATAACAGTGACTACAGGGCACCATCAACTGGAGATTTGATTTCAGAGATATTAAAATGTAGGGAGGAAAGTGTATCTATGAAACATGGTCATGGGAGTTCAGCAACATTAAATGATCGATACACAGTGTCCCTTATACATCAACAAAAATTGAATAGAAATTACAGGGCTGGGGTGCAGCTCAGTGAAACAGCATGTACAAGACCCTGGGTTCAATCCCCAACACTAAAAGAAACTCTTATTCACAAAGATAACCAAAATTACATAGTACCTAGCAAAAAAAATCTATTGAGAGTTGAGCAAGAACTCTATGAAAACAACACATGTCCAGATATAAACACCAACTCTACTACTTAATATATCCATATGAATTTATATATTTATCCTATAAATTTGATGCAAATGCAATAAAAATCCAACCATTTTTCATAGAAACTAAAAAAACAACCCTAAATAAGCAAAGGGAGGAAAATAGCTTAAATAATCCTGAAAAAAAAATAAGATTTAATTATAAAGCTACCATTATTAAATCAGGGTGGTATAGAGATAGCCAAACAGATCAATGAAACCAGAAGAGATAAACTAAAAACAGATGTGTATATGTGAGAATACAGTACATCTTAGGAGTTGGGAAGAAAGACTAAACTACACGATAAATCCATATGAAAAAGACAAAATTAGATCCCTATACCACACAATAGAGAAAAAACTCCAGAATGACCTAAATATTAAAAGGCACAGTATCATTATTACCTTGGAGTAAGAATTCCTTGAAGACACTGGAAAACACAAGCCACAAATGATTTAAAAAAAAAAAAAAGAAAAAAAAAGTTGTTTTTGTTCTACATAAAAAGCATTCCTTAAACAAAACTAAAAGATAAGCCACAGACTCGGAAGATATTTTCAGTGTATATAACTGTGAATCATTAGTATCCAGAATATCTACAAATCAGTAAGAAAAAGCAACAATCCAATAGAAAAATGAACCAAGGATACACACGAGCAATTCACAGAACACTCAAATGGCCAATAAACGTGGAGGAAAAAAGGTCAACCTCAATAGTAATCTAAGAAATACAAAATGAAAACAGCAAAAAGATAGCATTTATACCCAACAGATGGGGAAAAAATTGCAAAATCTAATCTTTTGGCAGTGATCTGGAGAAACAGGCTCATACACAGCTGGTGGGAGTGTCAAATGGAATAAAATTTGGCATTCTGGCAAGTCCCAGTAAAGTTGACAATGCACAGACTTCTTCAATGTAGCAATTCTACTTCTAATACAATCCCAAGAGAGAACCCTGTATAAGGATATTCACCACAGCACTGTTTGAAATTGCTGAAAACTGCAAACAGCCTAATGTTCCCCTTATAGAAAGACAAATAAACCCCAGTAAGTAATATCAATGTACTAGATCAGTAATTTTCAAACTTGTCTTGTGTCTTGTCTCAGAACCCCTTTAAGCTCTTTAAAATTAAGGACCACAATAATGTATCATGTAGTTCATCTCTATAGAGATTTATTATGTTAGAAATTTAAACAGAAATATAGAAAACTAATTGACAAAATAAACATACTATATGTAAACATGAAAGTATTTATTTAAAAATTTAACTATTTTTCAAAACAAAAAATATATTTAGAAACAAAGTAGTTTTTTTTTTTTTTTGCAAATCTCTTTAATGTGTGGCTTAACAGAGAACAGATGGATCACCATAACTTTTTCTGCATTCAATCTATTGATCATGTGTCATGTAGCCTCTGCACAGTACTTGTATGATGTACAGGAGAATGTGGGTAAAAAAATCGAATAATACTATTATAAAAAATACTTTGATCTCCTGGACCTTCTGTAAGACTGTTAAAAGAGCTTCAAAAATCCCTGGAGCACATTTTGAGAACCCATAAACTAGATCCACATATAACATGGATATATCTCAAAAACACTCTTCAGTGAAAATAATACATAAAATGAGGCACACAGTATGATACAGCTTACATAAAGTTAATACACACAAAAGCAATAACTTGTTTGGGTACATACATTTTAGGACAGTGGTTATTTCTGGCAAAGACAGGAATGGGATAAAGATGTGTGAAATTTTATTCCATTAAACTAAAACAAAATATGAAGCAAACACACCACAAAATATATTAAGATTTGTTAAATCTGGTGACATTTGCTTTACAATAATTTTTAAGTGTTTCATAATTCAAAACTTTTAAAACATTTTTAAAAAGCCTAATGACGGTATATTTCAAGGCTATCCACTTTCCTTATATTTCCCTTTGATTACAATACAGTTATAAAATAACCAAATTTTATAAAATGTTGTTTGGAAAAACAATTTGACAAGAATAAGAAGAGGCTGGCCATATTCCAATCCGACAAGGGGTGAGGATGGGGTTACACAGCTCCTGGTTTTGACTTGTTATCCTAACAAGATAGGTGTGCCTTAATATGAATACCTTTGGTCAAAGAACACATTGACTAGATAATTTATTTTGAATAAATTATTCAACTACATAAAATTTTCTGCACCCAATAATTGAGATAATTGTTTTGGGAGACAGTGATCATATTCCAGGAACCATTTATGGACAAAGATAAATGAGAAGCTGTCTATATTCACAGTTTAGGAAAAAATATAAACACACAGGTAAAATACATTAGATTAAATGCTAAACTAAAGATGTCCACATTGTTCTTGAGACAGAGAAGAAAGACTGAGCCTCGAAAAATAATGGTGCCATTAACAGAAAGAAAACAACAAACGGGTGTTTTAGGGGCTCCATGTGGAAAAAATATTTTTTTCTATCAATAATATTGGGCATCTACTATGTGCCAAATAAATTTGGATTCATCCCTGCTGAGACAGTTTAGACACCTGTGTGGATATAGTCAGTAAGCAACTGCAATTTCAGATGAAAAACTAGGAGAAAAGGTGGGCATGGTAAGGGACACTGAAATTAGGGGAGAAGATTTCAGAGAAAAATGGGTGGAGAATTGACCTTGAGGGAAATACCACCATAGAAGACAGAGAAGGCACAGAGTTTGTGAAACATAACATTTTTATATGACAGTCATTAAGATGCTGTGCAAGGGCTGGGTTTGTGGCTCAGCGGTAGAACACTTGCCCAGCATGTATGAGGCCCTGGGTTCGATCCTCTGCACCACATAAAACATAAATTAAAAAAAAAAAAAAAAGTCTAACTACAACTAAAAAGTAAATGTTTAAAAAAAAGATGCTGTGCAAATTTCCTAATTTGGGAAATACTGGATTTAGGAATAAGTGGGGTGAAAACAAATGAAAGTACTGGTGAAAGAAAAAAAAAAAAAAGGTGAGGGTTTTGCAAGTATGAGCAAATTTAGGAATATTTATAAAGAGAGGGAAAGGCTCCCGCAGAGTTAAGAGGGTAAAGATGCAAGAGAGCACTATTGACAGAGAACATCCCAAATGAGGCAGGCCAGGGTGGGGGCAGCACAGCAGGGCTCCAGGAAGAGCTGTTCTTCCCGAGGCAAAAGAAAAGGAGGAAAGCCTAGGTAGAGATAGAGGAGAAGCATCAAGTGGAAGGAAGGGAAACAACTGTTTACATCAGATAGCCATTTATCGTTCTCAGTTAAGTAAAAGATTAGGTAATCTTTGCTGAGGGTAAAGGATTTCAAGGGCCATACTGAAGAGTTTTGGGGTGGGGGGGAGAGTAGTAATAGTAGTAGTAGTTTGGAATTGCCAGTGTGCACAAATAATACAAGATAATCAGTGACAATACACATGTAAATGGGTTTGGAGAGTAAGCATTTACAAAAAGTAGGGGAAAAAGTTTTTGAAAGCATGCGTAAGCACGTCTTTTGAAATAGGAAATTGGCATCTATCTGGGAAAAAAATCAAAAACGAACATCACATTTATCTAAGATGGTTGGTTAAAAAGGTGTTCCATAGTCGGTTTTCCAGATTATCAAGGTTTGCCCTTTAAGGTAGAAAGAATTTTACTTTTAACCATTTCTGATGGAAACTAAACTATACACTCATTTGTCTTCTTAATAATACAAAGTGAGTCTAATTTAATCTTAAGCAGGAACATTCACTATTGTACTGTCTAGCTTTACAAAGAACTGATTCTTTAAAGCTTTTTTAAAGAACTTTTTTATAGGTCGTCTCTGCCTTTCCCACTTAAGACATAAAAGCCATTGGTTTTCTAAGTTTAAGTTTACCTTTAGCACCTCAACAACCACAGCCCACCTTAGCAACCTGCTTCTTAGTCAGCCTCATGCCATGCACTCTCCCTCAGGCTTCTAAACCATGGTCCTTATGATAAACTGGAGACTCTGGGTCCTTCCACTCCTCTCATGGAGCATCACTACTCTCACCTGTTGCAATCTAGGAAAATGGAAAAACTCAAAGTGAATTCCTAGGCTACTTATAGGTCTACAAAAAATTCTAGTAAACATATTCCCCACCTGTGCATGTGGGTTAGTCAAATATTAATCAAAACACAAGCAGGAAGGCTTGGCTCAGAGAACAGCCTTAGTTACCCTCTGAAACAAAACAGCGGTCACGGGGGGGGGGGGGGGGGGGGGGACACACAGACTGCAAAAAGATATCTTCGGGGCTGGGATTGTAGCTCAGTGGTAGAGCACTCGCTTCGCATGTGGAAGGCACTGGGTTCGATCCTCAGCACCACATAAAAATAAAATAAAGGTATTGTGTCCATCTACAACTAAAAAAATATTTTTTTAAAAAAGGTATCTGGAAGTCCACTATCTTTTTATTTATTTATTTAATTTTCCACCGTCTTTTTAATAACCACTTTTTCAACCTACTTTTTTCAAAAGCGTCTTAAAATTTTTATCGTTAAGAACACTTACAGGGTCATTTCTCATTTCGGCCAAAGTAACTCAACAGCGCTAGTCCTGTAATTTTCAACCATGGTAAATGAAATGGTAGAACCTCCTCTTTGTTTTTCACAGAAATTCTAACAACTGAGCAAAAGGTTTCTCGGGGTGAGAGATTAGGATAGAAAGAAAGATCACTCAAAAAGTGACAAAATCTGCTTAACTCCTGAACATCCCTGCAGTCGTCCTGATAGTGAAAACATTGATCGACTTAACACTGGTTATTTCTCAACTTTGAAACGTGTCCTAGTCCAACGGACTATAGAGCGCAGCTCCAGTGTGTCATCACTGAACTAGTTGAGGGCTCCTCCGCCGCGTCCCCCACTGAGCCTAAGTCCTGCCACCTGGCAAGGAAGCGCCCCCGCAATCTACCTTTTCTAGCCCGATTCCTACCAACTCCCCTATCTACGCCATCCACTTCAGTCAAACTGTAAAAGCCGTTTTCTGAGGCAGAGTCAACCTTGAAATGCCCTTTCTCCACCCCCTCGGCTACCTAACAAAGTTCTACCTTTGTTACCTCAAAATGCCACCTACTTTAGGAACCCTTCCCTGACTGACGCTCCAAATAGAAACCTTGCGTTCTCTTCAAGTCCAGGAATCAATCGAATATGCCTTCCCCGCAGCACTTAGTACATTTCACCTAGTGTCATCTGCCTCTGAACCACGAACTTCTTGCAGCCACCGTGTACAAGAAAAAATTTAAATTTTTTCTTAGCAACTAGCACAGTGTACACGGGGTTCTGAGTTTACCAGGAAAGTTGTACACTGCGCAATCAAAAGTACTTCAGGAGATAGAACATCATCAAACTTTGCAACTAAAGAAATCTAAATATCTTGACGGGAAATTAAATACTACACCACATTATGCTGTCCTTCAATAAGAAAAAACCTTCTGCCCTTATTCAACTTGAAAAAATACTACAAACATCACTAATAGCTTAAATGCAGCTTTTCAAGAAAACTGTTTCCACAGAAATGAATACAAAAGATTCCTTCAAAATCTTACTCTTCCTCTTTCGTGCTCTGCACTTTTTCACTATTGGTCAAGAGTGGTGAGAACTTTCCCATCAATTTATAATTTCTTTATTCACATACTCGAGAAGGCAATGATTTAGCGTGAACAACCGCATCGAAGTCACCTTCTCAGCCTTGTATGACTTGACTTAGCCAAAACAAAATTTCCTGGAGTCCTAAGGCAGCCAACCACCCCGGCAGCCCTCAGGTAGATAAAAGAGCCATGTTTGGGGCCAGGGGCGAAGAGAGAGAGATGGCTCCGGAGCCCGGGCGATGGCCGCCTGCAGCAGCTCAGCTAAAATGCAGCGGAAACAGCAGCCAGTCACGGGGCTGAGGGAAGCAGGGCAGGAAGGTGGCGCTGCGGCGGAGCGCCTGGAACCCGAGCGCCCATCATGGCGGCGAGGGCAATGGCCGCCGTAGGGAGCGAGCACGCCCCTCCGCGCGCACACGCGGCCGCACCCGGCCTCCGGTGCCCGTCACCGGCACCGCGGCCTCCGCCGCCCGCTCTCCCACCCCCCCTCACGGGCTACAGCGGAATTTTCTCTCCAGATACCGCTTTCAAGATGGCGGCTCCCCCTCCCGACAACCCCCTCAGTCGTTCCCTGCAGCAGGCGCCGAGCCGCCGCCATCTTGTCCCCCGTCCCTCCCCCCCCCCGCCGATATTTACATAGCGAAAATCGGCCCGGCCGGCCTGCGGCCTTCACCTCACGCCTGCAGCCTTCGCCTCCTCGCCAGGCCTCGCCCCCGTGCGGTGCCCCGGGTCGGCCGCGGCGCCCACCCGAGACCCCTCAGCCGCCTCCCGGACCTCCGGGCAAACCTCCCCCAACCCCCGCCCGCTTACGGAGAGCGTCTCCGCCGCCGCTCGGGGCATCCGGGCTCCTCCCCGGGCCTAACTGCGGCCTCCTCGGGGCCTGCTCGGCGCCGCGCGCCACGCCGCCCGGCCTAGCGCGGGAGGGCGCCTTGCGGGCCGCCGACCAGGCCGAGACCAGGCCGCCGCGCGCGTACTAGGCCCCACGGCCGCGGCGGCGCCCGGGACTCACCGGACGGGCGTGCGGGCGGTCGGCGACGGTGGCGGGTGCTGCAGGCCGGCCTTTCTCTGGAGCACTGGGCCGGGCTCCGGCTGGTGGGGCGGGCGGAGGGAGGGAGGAGGGGCCGAGCTCGGAGCTGACAAAAAGCGGCCCAGCTCCCCGGCACGGGCCCGCCGTCAGCACGTCACGTCACCGCCCGGGAGAGAGACCCAGGAAAATGCGGAAGGGTAGATAGGCCCCCTCCTCCGCCCGGTGGGTCCCCCTGGCGCCCCGGGTCGGCGCCGCTTACGCCCCGCAACCGGGGAGAACAGTGGCCTCGCTGCGCGGGGTCTCCTGCGGCCTGAGTCTCCGTGACAGCGCCCCCCTTCTTTCCACCTCCTCCGCGCTCCCGCCCGCCGCCGCCAAACACGCGCCGCAGCCGCTGCCTTGGCCGTAAAGCCCGCGCGGGGCCGCGGTCCGCCGAACCCGCGGTGAGGCAGGCGGCCCGGGCCGCCCCCCACCTTGTTCGTGGGCCGCGGCCGCCCCCCGGGGGCCTCCCGGGAGACCTACCGCCTCTCCACGCTGGTCCTGGCCGAGGCGCCAGCTCGAGTTGTTTGCAGGCCCTCAGACCCCCGCCCGCAGTAAATGTGTTTTCTTCATCCCCGCGGCTGGGGAAGAAGATAAATTTAGCAACCCCCGACGTCCCCTGCCTTCCCTTTAAAAAAAATAAGGAAAGAAAATCTTTGAAATAAAATGAAAATGGACTTGCCAGTCTAAAATGGGTGTGCGGGCAAGACGAGGGGGAAGAAGGGTTACCCTAGAGCAACTACCAAGCTCTTTAATTTTTTAGTAAATAAGCATTCAATCAGAGAGCCAAACTGAATTTTATTAGGTGTGTGGGGGGGTGAGGAATAGGTTACATTTTGAAACGGGTTTCGCACATCGCAAAAAGTAGGAATTTTTAATGGTATATTTTATATATACCTGTGTTTCAAGAGTTTGGGAACCTATGAAATGCAATTCTGGTATCATTGTTTCATAAATAATGCATTTTCCACATTCTTCCATATATATCTAGGAAGTGGCAGAATAGGGTAGGGATTTCTTTTTAACTCCTTAAGCCTTTTAAAAGTTTAAAGAGATGGGCGGGAGATAAAATGTATGTGATTGAACAAAGTATTGTCAACTTTAAAAAATGTGTCGAGTTTTCCCCAGTTTAAAATTTTTATACTGTTTCTATACTGAACTAGGGACTCAGAGACTATGTTTAAATGTTACCAAGAAAAAGTGTAGTCTATGTTAATCTGGAATCCCTCGTGCTGTTACAGCGCTAAATGCTAAAGGCATTTTTATACAATAAAGAATACAAAATTAGAAAGCAAGTAACATGCTGACGTGAAATCTCTTTAAATTCAGAGAAGGCTTGAATTTTAGTGGCCTGTCACAAGGCTTTTTAAAAAACTCCCAGGGTGCAAATAGTCCCTTCTCTCAGATACTTTACAGTCATACAATGCTTTCAAAAAGGAAAAACAAAAGAAGCATAAGAAGAAATCTCTGGGAATGGTCATTTTTTCCTCTCAGGGATTGAGTGAGGGTTTTTTTAGTGATCAAATTTCCTTTCAGATGTGATAAATGATAACATATCTTCCTAACTGTAGAAAATTCCTTCAGGCTGCAATAGTCTGTAGTTACAGAAAGGTAAATAAAACTAAGTAACACTGTTTCAAGTAAAATAAGAAAGCCGGGTGAGGTGCACGTGCCTGTAGTCCCATCTAGGCGGAAAGCTGAGGCAGGAGGATCACTAGAGTGCAGGATTTGGAGGTAGCCTGGGGCAACACAACGAATCCCTGTCTGGTCTCAAAACACTCGGGGCAGGGGCGTGTTTGGGAATCTAAATCAGCCTGGGGTCAATCAGCACCGCCAAAAGAAATACACATGGGCATGTGCGCAAGCGCACACGCGTTCAGAGATTAGATCTCATTGTGTTGACCAAGCTGGTCTTGAACTCTTGGGCTCTAGAGATCCTTGCTCATCAACCTCCCCAGTAGCTGGAACCACGGGCTTGTGCCATGCCAGACTGTGATCACTTTTTATACATAAGGAGAGTATAAGTAGGCAAGTGCCCTGGGTTAAATTAAGGGGAAAAAATGTTTTGTTTTGTTTTTTTTAAAGTGAACGTTTGCCATTGTGGTGTTGCATGCCAGTAATCCCAGTGGCTCAGGAGGCTGAGGCAGGAGGATTGCAAATTCAAAGCCAGGCTCAGCAACTTAGGGGGACCCTGTATCAAAATAAAAACTAAGGGCTGGGGATGTGGCTCAGTGGTAAACTGCTCCTTAGTTCAATCCCCAGTACCAAAACAAAAACAAAACAAAACAAAAAGTGAATGACTGAAGGAGTAGCTCAGTGGCAGAGCACTTGCCTAGCATGTGCAAGGCCCTGGGTTTGATTCCCAGCACCCTACACAAAAAGGGGTGGGGTGGGGAATAATTTGTACTTCAAATCCATTTATGGAAGACAGTAAAGAACATTGTTAAACAGAGTGTTAAAAGAACTGTGATTTAAAAAAATTTACTGGAAGTACACTTAATATTATGATAAAGTGAAAATGCAAAGGCAGTGTGAACAACAGAAATCATTTGGTACTATAATTTATACAGTTTATGAAAGTACAGTTGGACCTTGAGGCCACCTAAGATCACTGAAAGTATTTGGCAATCAAGCACCAACTGATTAAGCTCAGACATCTTACAGTTTACCTGGGTCTAGATACTTTCTATCATGGTTTCAGTATTAGGGACCTACAGAGTCCCTGGGGGTAGGCAATAAATAACAAAGCCTCAGTGCATGCCTTTGGGGTACTTGAATAAGGAGGCTGTATGGCAGAATAACAACATTCTTAAGTGCTTTCATTTTCTCACTTAAATAAACACACAATAAAAGGAAAATTTAGCTAAGGATATTGAGAGCAGAACGGTTCAAAAGCATATGCTATGAATACAAAATAGCTGGTTTCAAAGCAGTCAAAAGAATTTTGATGGTGTGCTAAAATTTATTTGTTCCTTCAGAGCTGTTAATGTATATCAGATAGTTAAAAGCATCTACTCAAGGTTTTGACAGTGTTTTAATAACTTAACTAAAAATCTCTGACATATTTATAGGTGCTTGAGCCAGAAGCAACACAAGACTTTTCAATCATTTTTCCAAAGAAAGATTAGTCAGAAAAGAAGCTGTTGATTTGCAATCCCCATCACTCAGTGATGGGAATCCAAATAGGAAACAATAAGTTATTGGTCTATGAGAAAATACAGACCCTGAATAAAATTATGATAATGCATTATTTTATTTTTTGTTTTGTTTTTGTTTTGGCACTGAGGATTGAACCCAGGGCATTTCACCACTGAAGTACATCCCCAGCCCTTTTTTATTTTCTATTTTTATTCAGGGTCTCACGAAAAAAGTGCTGAGGTAATACGTTATTTTATATCCCAAAGGTTAAAAAATATTTACTTTCCCCTAGAAAGGCTCTATTTCTATTGATCTAAACATGCCCTATAAAAATTAACTATATCTGATACCTAAATTTTATTTAACATAAGCAAGTTGTATCTTCTGTTGGAATTCAATTGGCTATAATTAATGCTAAGTAAGAATTTTTAATCTGAGTCTTTAAGCTGTACACCTTCCCCAAGGAATGTAATTTTAAAATAAATAATGACTGACAATTAGGTGATTTTCAAGCAGTATTTTTCATATGACTCATTAACTAAATAAGACATTGTTTAATTCCTGAGTATCATGAATGGCCAAATTCTACCTCAGGGATTATGAATCACAGGACACAGCAAACAGACTAGCTCTGGTAAAGAAATAAACATCAATACTGAGGTCTAGAAATAATGAGCAGCAGCAGGGAACACCCCTGGTGCCCAGATGGGGGCCTCTACAATTTTCCATCGAAGGAACCAGGGCTCCTTGGAGAAATTACATGAGTCCTGGGCTGGAACAAGAAAGTACAAGATGAGCCAGGAACATCTCATACCAGAAAGCAAGGGAAAAAAAAGTCAAAGCTTACTAGGAATGTGTCAAAAGGTCTCAGGAGCCAGTTTAAAGACTCCAGCTGGCCAACATTGAGAAAATTTGAATGTCAAAAGAACAATAATTGCTGTGGATTTAAAGAATGGATATGTTCATGAATTTATGTGACTTCAAAAAATGATCAACTAGTGATAGTTGCACAACTTTTTAAATGTACTAGAAACTAGTGGCTTGTATGTATACTTTATTTTTTTTTAAAGAGAGAGAGAGAGACAGAGAGAGGGGGAGAGAGAGAGAACTTTAACATTTTATTTTTCAATTATTGGCGGACACAACATCTTTGTTTGTACATGGTGCTGAGGATCGAACCCCGGCCGCATGCATGCCAGGCGAGCGCGCTACCGCTTGAGCCACATCCCCAGCCCTTGTATGTATACTTTAAAATGTTATTTTGATGGTATGTGAATTATATTTCAAATTTTTAAAATGATCACCTTTGGGGAGTGCTAGGAAACCCACTCATTACTTTGAAAACTGGTAACGGAAAAGATGAAGCACTTAATCCTACCACATCATTCACAAAGGAAAACTTTCTTGTAATAGTATTCTGATACTTGAAGAAGGCCTGATAGAATTAGAAAATCACCATTTTGCAACCACTAAATGAATTAATAATAGATCTTGGCAACAATAATCAATGGCTGCTAAGCAGAAAGGCATTCAGATATATCCTCATGACAGAAATACACAATGCCACTAGCCAAGAATGAAACAAACCCAAGCTAGATCAACACTCTCGCTCTACCAATTTACAGGAAATATAGGGGACAGAGAAATATATTAATGAAATCCATAGGGATGTGAATCACAAAATCCAGTTGGGAAATTATAGGGCAAATGACCTACTTTCTTTCACAAAGAAATTGTAAGAAAAAAAAACTGATGGGAAAACCAATAGATTAGAAAAACCTTAAAAAATATGTCAATTAATTGCAATGTAGGAACTTCATTTCAATTTTAATTCAAACAGGCAACTTTAAAAATTGATGAGACAATCTCAGGGATGTGAGATTGTCACATGTGGATGTGGATTGTTGTCAACACTGACTGTATATAGGTTGATATAAACAAATTATTAATTCATTAGGTGTAGTAATGATGTTTTGATTATATCTAAAAATAAGTCCTTATCTTAAAGATATAAGAACAAAATATTTGTGGATAAAATGATACAATATCCAAAATGGCCTTCAAAATAACACGAGGTAGGGCTGGGGATATAGTTCAATTGGTGGAGTGTTTGCCTCGCATGCACAAGGCC